CATGTTCATACTTAATCTAAAGGAGACAAATTTCTTCTACAATCCTGGACTGTCACAGCTGTTGGCTGACAGATCACAAAGCTTGTGGTAGAGGAATAAAGCCACCGGGAATACCATTTTAAGATCTCTTACCATGCCTTTGCTGCTGGATTATAGAGAACATAACATGTACAGTGCAAAGACAGGAAATGATGGGAGGAGAGAGAGGTGATAATATGTGACAAAGTCATGAACTGGATTCACACCCACAGCAATGAGAGCATGTGGCATACGCCCCAGCCCACTGCTGTGTTAGGGCATCCGGCAGCAGGAAGGCCTTCAATGTTTGCAAATAACAAATACAACATGTCACTGGGGCATTTAAAATGAAGAAAGCTTGACAAAAGGTATTGAATACTCTTGTTTATTGCTGATAATTACCACTTTTGCTGTTGCTGTGTCAACTTACAAAACAATTATCAGGACTGAGTGTGTTTGGGGAATAATCAGACTGAGCCGTCCAGGCTTTTGAAAGTCCAGACTTAAGTCCAAATGTGATCAAGCTTCCACAATCCAGGTCTGCAGACTGAAGACTGATCACTGTGGAGATCTGACTGGCAATATTCTCACCACTGCACAGACACGCTTATATACACATATTAAAAATTAATTCTTTTTACTGCCTTTCATGACTAAACAACAGAGAGTTTAACACCTGGATTTTTGCCAGTCACAAGTTAGCAGAGTGTACAATGAGGTCTTCATGTTGCTAACTTTGTCAATCACATAATGAAAAACAAAACCTCAAAGACTTTTTAAATTACACTATGAAAACAGATGTAAGGAAAACAAATGTTCACCTTGGAGAGCCTGCAGCTAGAAAAAGTTATATATGACATGACATGATGATATATATAACGGTTAAGTCATTTTATAATTTACGTCAATCCATTAATCAACTATTCTTTTCAGCAATACAGAGAATAACATCATTGTTTGGGACTGCCATTAATGAGCTACTCATCAGATTTATGTTGGTTGTGGTGGGAACAGTTTGACCAGCTGAGACTGACCCGGACTGGGCATCATTACTGGCCTGACAGAGGGGGAACCTCTGGGGCTCTCTCTTGGCCCGACAGGCTCTCTGTGGATTTTGAGACTGTAGGTGCAGCGACTGTCGACACAAGAGCATTTTCTGATAAGGCTGGTTTAGATGGCATAAACACAGGCACTGAGCTAACAGACTCAGTTTGGGAACCAGCTATGGGCGGCTGAGGAAAGCCTGCAGTATAAGATGGTCCATTGTCAGCTTTATTAAGTACTGAAGTATTTATTGTTTCAGTTGCAGGTGTGAGTGGTGCGGCGGCAGATAATTTGGCCGCAGTGGCTGTTGTGGATTTGGACACAGCAGCCTCCAGTTCAACTGGAATATCTAATCCTGCTGGCTTTAAGACTGAGCCATGGGCCTCTGGTCCAACATCAGTCGCTATAGGGGTCAACAGTGCAGGTATTTGTGGGGATGGAGACGAGGTGAAGGGGCTTGGAGACGCAGGTGGGGCCTCTGCGGCAGGAGGCCCTATAGATGCAGAAGTCGCTGCCTCTGCTGCCTTGGCATTCTCTGCAGCCTTGCTCTCCATCTCTTCCATCCGGCGCTGCACCATCCGAGGCATCAGCTGCACATAGGTGCCCATCAGGCGGTGGTTAGACCGAATCAGTTTCCCCGCACAGCTGTCCACACAGCGCTCCTGGACAGGCATCAGAAACCAGAGTTGATAAGTCAGTAACAACAGTATGTGTTCATCATACACTATTTGGCCAAAAGTATGTAGACATGTTCATATGTGGTCTGTTTTTTCTTCTGTGGTTTAGGCCCTTGGTTGCAATCAATGGAAATGTTTACCCCTGTGCCCCATGAACAATGCTACGTCACTAGCCTGCAGAGCCCTGACCTCAACCACATCCAACACCTTTGCCAGACGTTATCACCCAATATCAGTGCCCGACCTCACTAATGCTCCAGTGGCTGAATGGGAGCAATCCCCTGTACAGAGGCTGAGGAGCATATTCATGCCAAAAGTTTAGGACTGAAATGCTCAGCAGTTTCATTAATGGGTGTACTGTCGGGGTGTCCTTATACTTTTGGCCATGTAATATACCAGCAGAGAAAGGGCAGGTTAAGTAAAGATGATGAGACATGCAGCGGGGCAAAACAATCAAAGCAGCAACAGTATATATGTATAATAAGTCTTTACCTCGTCCATGGTGAGGTTTCTGTAGTTGAAGTTGCTGGTGCATCGCTGGAAGCAGATTTCAGTCATGCGGTTGTAAACCAGAAGAAAATCCCGCAGCTGCAAGAGACACATCCAGTCAAGCTCACTATCAAACGTGTGTTCACCTGCAATTAAACTGAATGTAGCTGTCAGTGAATGCGAGAGTGACTTACATTTCTCAGTTGTTGGTCAGGATCCATTGCGATTCCGTCTGAAGCTAAAATGCTAACATGAGCAGGCTAGTTAATGAATCAGCTAAGTCAGATTCTTCCCGATTCTGAGCTGTCTGAGGTGAACGAAGGCACAGTCCCGCAAGATGTAATTTACATGCCAACTTTCACGTATAACTACAAGCAACCAGGCATGAACAGATTCAGGTAGTGGATTAAGCTGGCATGACATTCACATGTTCCCTGACACCGATGAAGTCAGCTTCCGATTCGTAGTTTCCGATTCGGCAGTTAAGGCAAGGTTAAAGGGGAAGTTAAGGGAAATTTAAGACACACTGCTGAGCCACCGATCAGTGTCATGCACCTCTTACTATCGTGGAGGCGCGTTAGACCTTATAGGTAAACCCTTAACGCTGTCTGAAACCCACTGTCAAATTTGGAGATTTCACTTTTCTTTTTTTCTTTTTTTTTAACATCTAGACCACATCAGACCAAGTCCAGATTAAGAACCACTACATTTAGACTGGTCAAATAGTTTCCTTTACTTTCACACAGGTATCACATAGTAAATATGGTTTGTAAAACATCTAACACAAGTACAGATTTCACTAGGGAGCCGCAATTGTTCCTGTCATGTAGTCAAACTCATGTCTCAGTCAAATTTGTTTTTATTGTGTCGACTCATTCCCTGTGTGAGAATATGCACAGAAGGAGAGTACGAAATTCAGATATAGGTAATGTAGGCAAAAAATCTATGGAGCGAGTACTGTGACCAGCTCTCATACCAAGTAGCATCTATAATATAGAGACGTAAACAGACTGCAGAAAATAGAGCTATTTTATATATTTATTTTATTTATATACTTTTTTGCATCTCAAATTGCAGCTAACTAACTAACTAACTCAAATGATAACCTTTTATTCAAGTTTAATTTACCTAAAATATTTAACACTATTTCACAACAATAAGAGGTGTAGAAAAACAGAGCATCAGCACTGCAACTCAGGTTTCCCTTAACTTTCCCCTTAAATCTGAATCGGAAGCGGACTTCAGCGTCGTTGCTCGCTGCCATGTTTGTAACGAAGATCGTCTATGCTGTGAAGAGGCGTCACTCACAGAAAAAACTTCCACTTCCGGTTTGTAGAATTTTAGTTGTATTAAGTAATAAGATATAGAAAGATAAACATGTATATAAATAATAATGTACATGAAGTTTAGAAAACGTACAGTTTATATTACTGTTTTGAAGACATTTCAAGATACCGCTTGAATATAAAAGCTCACTAACAAATTTTTAACCCTCAAAGTTTGGACTCTTGATTCCAGCCAAACAAAGATAGTAGCAGTCCTTCAGTTTATTAATCTCATTTTTAATTGTATTGTCATTGATTCATTATATGTTTACTCAGCAGTATTCACCAATGGATGCCTACAAGAGGAGTTATAGTTGTTAACAAATCATTTATGTCTGCTTACATCTACATCATAGTCTGTAAACTATTCGTTACACGTTTATATACTGATTATAAATGATGAATATAGGGACTTAAAATGTTACTAAATATCTCACCATCTATTAGATGGATTGCCATGAAAGTTTTTATAAACATTCATGGTCCCCAGATGTTGAACCCTACTCGTTTGCCAGCAGCAGATTGACATTTTTGGATTTTAGTGAAATATAAATATTCATAATGCCTACAAAAATGTATCCCCCTGACTGGGGTCATCCCCTGATTTTTAATTTAGCACCACCATAAGACTGACATTTGTGGTTTGCACAGGTGCATGTGGGTGATGCAATAAACATTCCTGCCTACATTGTTAATGCAGTAATTTGCCGGCAATTTGCACACAGTCCACCTGGTTGTTCAACAGTTTGGTTCAAGACAGACAGACACTGATTGTATGTAAAGATACTATACCTTGGCAAATACTGACCAAATTGCCAACATGGACAGCCACTGTTCCCAGAGTATGATTGCTAATATTCTTCTCTATTACCTATCCACCAGCAGCATGACAAAATTTCCCTTTGAGCAACCCTTAAGTCCATGACAGTCTCTCGAAAGGTAATGGCTAGTTTCTCTTGACATTAGTTTTATATATTCATGGTCCCCAAAGTTTTATTTCTACAATTTTTTGCAAATTATTGACCTTTCCTCTAACACCAAGAATAGACTAAATTATTAGCTGGTGCATGAGAAATATCAGTCCTATGGATCTGATTGCCATGATATTTAGTGCTGGTTCCCAGAGGATGAACTCTTTCTTCTTTATTTACCTCACATCCTCTTGTGCCAGCCTCAGTTATACTTTACAAGTTCAGCTCCACCACTGGTAAGGCTGAAAAACAAGTAAATTGTGTTTATTTAAACAACACTGATGCATATATAGACACTGAAGCAGCTCATGACTGTGTAAAAGCTTTTGTTTATGAATACATCAGATACTGTTGCAACAAAAACATAAAGCTAAGTAAACAAATAATACAAAACGGACATCCAGACACATGCACTTTTGTCCAGTTTCTGCAGCGGTTTTTGAGAACAGCATGTACTCAGTCCCTACAGAGACTGAATGAGTAACTGTGTGCTCCCGTCCTGCCCAGAGTCACAGATTATGCTGGTTGTCTGGGAGGAAAACAAAGCTTGACACCCAAGATGAAGGCAGAGAAGGATTCTCCAAAAGCCAGAACGATTTCTCAAATTTTATTGTTGATGTTTCTTGGATTCTTCAATTCAGGTATGTCATGTTTTCTACTTTAGAATTTGCTGTAAAACTGCTTTAAAATTTGCTTTTGTAATGCACCATCTATGTGATGTTATGCTAAGTAGATCACATAGTTTTGCCTCACAGTGGTCTGATGTTTCACTTGCATGTTTATGAAATGTTTCTGGAAGATTGTGTAACAATTAAGATCACACATTGTTTACAATGTAGCAGATAGGTAACAAGTGATAATCTAAGTCTGATTACTGTTTTAATTTTTTGTTTTAGTATGAGCGAATCAAAAAACAAAAATACAATTTGCAGGTATAATTTTGCTTTGACACAATATGATATCACCAGAGGTTTGTGTTAACTACTGTATTGTTTTTATTGCATAATATTGTAACATGTTCAATGTCATCGTAAATAACAGTGTCAGAAAAAAATTGACAATGCTGTGAAAACTGAACATTAGAGACATCACAAAGGTAGTATTTGTTGTTGGGGTATTTGATTGCATCAGACTATGTGGGTGCTTTTACAGTCTTGTGCCCACCCTTTGTAAGTAATACAGTAATTGTGCCTACAGGCTGTACAAGAACAAGTGTTTTCAGATGTTTAGTTATTTTCAACTGTGGCTGTGTCTCATCCCTGTCCTGCTATTGTTGTGGCTAGCACCAGAGTCACTGAGCTGCTCTGTTTCTGCAAGGCTAGCATGGCATCTGGATTGCTCCCAGTGCTCTTTTCATGAACTGCCAAGAAGGAAATTTGAACAAACAATCCTCACTTTTGTTGGCTCATGCTCGCCCATCCCAAGGACTGACAGCTGTTACCATGGTAATGTGGATCTGCCATGCAAACTGGCCCCAGTACACAGCAGTGATGGGGTGTGATGCCCACACTAGCTTTCAGTTAACTACTGTATCACTCCCTGTAGTTGAAAAAACAAAAACACTTACTGTATATGCACAGCAAAATGAGGACTATTTACATCTTGCCTGTATGTAGGAAAAATGTCAATAATGATTATTCATGTTATTGCAATAGACAGCAGTATCCCTATAGGGCTCCTGAATTGTATTACATTATACTAAAAGGGTTTTTCTACAATTTTGTCCACCCTGTAAACAGAACACCTCTCTATACAGTGCCATACAGTGCCAACAGCACCACAAATGAATCCTCCAAAATGATCAATTAGTTTCAACATAAACTGAACTGGCAGGAATGTATTGCTGATTTATTGCTATATTGGACTGCATTAGTTTTAGCTAGGTGTTCCTCATGAATTGGCAACTGATATTGTATGTTATATACAGTAGTTTGACAACCATCCTTAAAAACTTTCATCTCTTTTTTTGTCTTCATTGCTTCTAAAGTTATTGCTCTGCATTTATAGGGCAGAGTTAAGTAAAGATGCAGCAGGGTGATGGGGATTTGTGAAAACTCCTATCAGTATAAGAGGTTAAAACTGTGGTATTATTCAATTTGTAGAAGTTAAGATATATTGGAATTATGTGGATTTGAGGAAAGAAAATCTAACACAGCAATCTCTCTTCCATGTCTCTATCCAGGTGAGGTGCTGGCAGTAAATATGACTATCCCCAACACTCTCATTAAAGGTACAGTAGGAGGGGAGGCCCTTCTGTCTGTCCGCTACAGCAGTTTCAGCCTAGACCTGCCAGTCATCAAGTGGCAGCTCCAGAGGGAAAAGTCTGTCACTGTCGTCCAGTCGATTGGAACTGACATCATTGGCACCCTGAGGCCTGAGTACCGTGACCGAATTCTGGTGTTTGAGAATGGGACTCTGCTTCTCCACAACCTCAGATTCTCTGATGACGGAACTTATGACGTGGAGATCTCCATCACAGATGATACCTTTACAGGAGAGGGCAGCATCACACTCACTGTGGATGGTAGGAGGACATGTTCTATTGTATTATTCTGTACAGGTAATTCCAGGGTAAGATCACATTAGGCTCAAGTCCAACTTAAGTCCCAAGTTTGATGATTGTTGGCTTGACTACATATTTTCTTATCTTTGAAAAGCTACCCTACCTGACAGATTTAAAGGCCTTATATATATACACATACAGGTGTCACTTTGGCACTGCTACGAATTATATGAGGACTCTGGACCATGTGCACCATGTGCACCTCCATGCACTTCTTATGTGCTTGTTATGTACAAGATAGGACAGGAAAACCCAGTTGAATGGAGCGCAGGCAGCTCGCGAGGTAACAGATATGGAAACAAGTATCTTGTGGAGATGCATATTTTTTTCCCACAGCTTTTAAGTGGTGGCAGAGACACTACAGAACATTGTGTAATCAGATTCAGCCACCACAAGCAATGTGAAATATGTGGTTTTTGGTATGTTGTTTATGCTGTTAGTACATGTGGTATTTTGTTTACTTGTCACACAGAGCAATTGATTGAAGTCAGCATAAGGCACAAGTGCCTGTTTTGCATGTAGGACTGAAATGGAGGACAAACTAAACACAGTTGGCACAAACCAGCATGTGGCCAGTCAAGTTTGGGAAAGCATGCAAAATCAAGATCAAGATGAACTTTATTGTCATTCAGAATATACAAAAGGAAAAGTGCACAGCAGAGTGAAATGATGTTGGCTCACAAATATAGAAATAGGAAAATAAGCACTGTATATGGAAAATACTTTCATGTTGCAGCTCCGTGGTGATAAATGTCAATCACACTAGCATGTGAAGGAGATGTCAGCCAAACATAGACTGTGCAAGTTCACACAGTCCAGCCAGCAGTTATAGTAGAAGCTGCAAAGCTGGCCCTGGCAACTTGCTTGAAGGCACTACCGTCCATGTTAATACCCCGTGTATTAGGGCCTCTTGTGGCTCATGCTCACCTCTAACCTCTCCAACAGAGACAGATCTTCAATTGCCAGCTTGACAGTCAAAGGGGTTCGTGTAAAACACCTCCTAATATGTTGCAGTTCAGTGATCTATGTCATAGTGAAAGAATGGCATCAGCCCTGCCCACATAGAAGCCTGAGTGAAGGTCACCTGTATCCTGGAGAAGAGTAGGAGGGGGAAATAACGTTCCACAGGAGCCAATGTGTCAAGGAGACCGTTTCTTCCTACTCTACTGCAGAGAATACAAACCCCTGTTAAAAAAGGCTCTTAGGAGCCGTCTACAATACATTAATATGCTATGTTTCCATCAGCCTGCATTACCTCAATATAATTATTCATAACATTTTTATCAATTTCGATAACATTGTACTACAATTGTAGTTGTACTTTCACACTTGGGACTTTCAGGATCGTCAAGACTTGTGTTTGACTTGCAAAACAAAACAAAAAAACAAATGTTCTTCTTTATATCCCACAGTCCAACATGTAAATTCATCGCACTCCAGTCTAAAGCCACACCAATAAAACAGCCAGGTTGATACTATCGGTTGATATTAGCTTATCATAGATTAATTGTTATCGGCATATATGTTCGGCGTTAGTAGCAAGAAATTGCATGTTTTTGATTAAAGGCTGAATTGACGTCATGCTTGAAGAAAGGTAAGACATAACAAATATTGGACTTACCTTCATCAGGCAGACAGAAACATAACTGTAAATTCATGGTAATTTTGCTATGTGCCTGCTCGATATGTGTATTAGTAATTACTTGTATTAGTAAGCAATTAGTAATTGGGCCCAAGCACCGAATGGTGTGAGGACCCAAATAGCTCTGTTTTGATTGTGTTTGCATCTTGTTTCTGTTTTCAATTTCATCTGGTTTGTGAAATGTTTTCTTGTGAAATTGTTTTGGTTGCTGTAATGTGGCTTAGACCTAAAGGTTACCATATATACTACATAGAAAACAGCATGCTTACTTGACTTTTTTTGTCTATTTAAACTATTGTATTTACTGTCACCTATATCCAGAACCTATTTCCAGGCCCTATATCCACATGGAGTCTTCATCAGTACTGGAGCTCAGCGAAAACGTCATCCTCAACTGCTCCCATGAAAATGGAACCAGGACTACATACAGGTGGTTCAAAGGTGGAAAGCCTCAGACCAATGAAACAAGATTTGTATTGTCACCTGACCAGAAGCTCTTGACCATCACACGGGTGTTGATGGCAGATGATGATATCTACAGCTGCGCAGTGGAGAATCCCGTGGGCAATATGTCAAGCCTACCTATCAGATTGACCGTCTACAGTATGTGATACTACCTTTGTTATTTGTTACAGTGCCAGCAAGAGCTAAACCCATCATGCTAGACATAGTGACATGGGCAGCAGGAGGTTGATCTGTTTATATGCAGTTTATCAGACAGAAGAGCAATCAGAGAGAAAAACTTCTTCATGAAAACATATTCTATCAACAATTCAATAAGATCTGAACGTTAAAATAGTAATTAATTATAACTAGAAAAGGCAGTTTCTCCTACATAATTAATAGTTTCTGTAGGACAGACATTTGACACAATTAGTATACTTTAACTATGTACCCGTAACCTAATACACAAATACATGATATATCCACAATATGTAATAAAGTCTTGTGGATTCTGAAACTAAGTTTGGGCAAATAACCACAAATAAACATATAATTTAAGTAACATCCAGACAATAAAACTATTTCAGCTATTTTAAAATTGCTGATGGCAACGCTCAATGAAAAGTTAAGGGATCATTTCAGATTACTTATTATTCTGACGGTGACCATGAAGGTCTGTAGCAGAGATCAAAATTACTTCTAACAAATGTATTGAATGCATTTCCTTATAAAACAAAGCAAATTTCAGAAAAACAAAATTTCATCCACCCAGTAGTTGTTGAGATATTTTAGCATGAACCAAAGTGGTGGACTGGTCAACTGACCTAGCATTGCTAAACCTAGCTTTACTACCAGAATTTGCAATTATATTTCAACAATCATACTATATAATATTCTTTCTTGCATGTTCCCATGTTGTTCTGCTCACTGTTAATATGCATTAGCTGTTATCCTGACCCCTACCAGGAAGAAGTTCCCTTTATATCATTCTTTCCACTGGAGGTATCTTCCTCCTCATCACCTTGGTAACAGTATGTGCCTGCTGGACGCCTTCCAAAAAGTAAGAATTACTATTAATTACTATCATGCCTCAATAGTGTGAGACTGATTTTAGAATGGCCAGATTTTAGAAATGCATTGATAACGTTTTGTCTTTGTTAGGCCAAAACATCCACCTAGAAAACCTCTCTCCAGGTTTTATGACCGTTCTCATCGCTCACCAATCAATACAAGAGGTATGGTATTGCTATATTTAAACAATATTCCACTGTACTGATAGTTAATCAAAAAAGTGATCAGCTACTCTAACATGAGGCTGGAGTAATCCCCATGAAGAAATCAGACTATGTGTATGATAGACTGTCCAATGTTTTATTCTTTGCCACAGATGATGTGCTTCCAAAAATGACAGAGCATAATGGAATAAATGCAGTTACTTCGCTTTACATCCTGCAGCAAAAGGTAAGACTCTCATCATCACTCTAATTTTATTAGATTCTGTGACTCACAAAAGGTAGCTGGACTAAAAATCTGCTGCAACTTTAGCTTTCCCTGGAGGGTGTGATGATCATTACACCCCACATAACAAACAGCAGAGTGACATCTTTTCTTTTCATACAGCATTATCAATAGTGGAACTAAAAATGCAAAGGTTTTCCTAAAGGTGGTAATACAGTTAATACCACAGGGTTATCCTTCTGGGAGCAGAAATGTGTTCAGGAAATTTCAGCGCATGGCAATCTAGTAATAATTTGATACTGAATCTTTTGTCCCTGTGAACCTTGTTCACTTGCTGTTTTGCCACAACAGTCCAAATGACAGAATATCTGGGTCTCCTTCAGTTATTAAGAGTTCTCAGAGTGATCATAAAGAGCATCAGTAAGAGCTTTGTTGTTGCAGTATTCCTCCTCTTCTATCACTTCCTCTTATTAGCAGTGAGGAAAAATATGAGGCACCAAATGGAACAAATGCAACATTAACTATACTATACAGGCTCCACATAAATCACTACGCTTTTACATTACACTATGCCAAATAGTAAAGAACATGCATAATCATTGACAGATTTCCACACAGATAAGAAAACACAGTTACAAATAGAAAGTAGGGCAATTAATAATAGTCGTATGTACATACACAACAGCAAATATTCCAAATGAGTTGTCTCTTCAACTGCAGAAAACAGTCCAACTTAGTCCCTTAAATGCTCCAACCTAATTGGCTGTTGCAGATAGGTGATAATTGAGACTGTGAATTTCTAGGAGCTTTTTCCACAAGATAAATGTTATTATTTTATATTAAATTATCTTTGTTTAGCAGAGAATGTATTTCAGCAGAAGGCGTCTTGTTTTGCAGGATCCCTCCATGGATGACTCATCCAGCAACAGTATTGGATCTCCTTCTGAACTTGACAACCCACCATGCTACACCAGTTACCCCAAGTACACCGCTTCTCTTACCCAGTCTCCTGGGTCCCCTACCTGCTCCACCCATAGGTACACCTGAAAGCTCATCGGTTTAAACTCTCCACGTCACAGCAAATGGGAGGTCAGACCGTCCTACTGTATACTTCTCCCGATGGCAACTTCCTGCAAATCCGCACGGAGTTTGGAAAAGATCTCTAAACTATTTTCTGGGGCTTTACAATGTCATTACTGCCTGTCGATATTATCAAAGTAAACCATGACTTAAATAGCAGTTGCTTTGAAGGTTAAAAGCACAGCCTGTAGGGAAATGTGAATGGAGCATGATATCAGACATGTTTTTAAATGGCTTTGAAGTCTGTATCTGTGTTCACCACACACCACTACTGTCATTGGTTACAGGAATTAGAAAACCTGAACTTTGAGAAATGGCAAGTAGTCTTCATGAAGCTTAGGTTGGGTTGGTAAGATGTAACTGTCAAACTGCTGTGTAATGAAGAGAAGTTCAATTAGATGGCAAACACACTTGCCCCACGCATACTTCTCTTTATGCTTTACTGTCATTTCAAAATCATCACCACACAAGATGAGATTTGTTGTTTATAAAGCTTAAATGTGAAAAGATTATTGACAAATTTTGTAAAAAAAAAAAAAAAAAAAAGAAAAAAAAAGAAACCTTAACCCTTAGAAATGCTACTCTGTTACAGTGTTATGTGATATTTTCTGTAATGTTCAATGAAATCCAGTAGTTACTTTGTAATATTTTGTCATTACTATTTTAGTTCTACTAGATGATTCAATAGCATTTTAATTGAGAGGAAAGACAACGTCATGTTGAAGGAGGGGCCATGGTAAATTTTATACAAACTTTAATAAAAAGGTGAAATTCTCAAAACAAAGAGTGAGAAGAATGTTTCTTTTCAAATATGTATCTGTGACATATGGATTATCAATCTTCTGCATGAGCAGGGCCTATAGGGAAATGTCCAGCCCAGATTATTGGCAAATTAAAGGAGAACCACAGACTGGAGGATATCAAAGCTAACATAACATCAACATACAGATCCATTTTAAAAATGGATTTCACTAAAAAGGTTAGAAAAACTATTTGATTAGTTGTATTGTGAACTGATTTACAAGGTGTGTAGCTGCCATAAGAGAGAGTTATGCATTTTTAAGTTCATTTAATTAATTAATTATATTTTAATTTGATTTAAAATATAAGAATAATTTACGTTTTAAAATAGAGGATTTTTTTTGTTATATAATATTAATAGTTAAAAACATACTCAAAATACATATAAGAATAAATATTTAAAAGGACATGTTTGGTGTTTCATAGGAACTAAGGTTTTAGTGTTGCATGGGGTGGGGTTTGTTATTGTTGTTGCACCCCATGGTCAGCATGTGAGGTAGCGGGTGTGTCGGATTCGATGGAGAGAGTGACTTAAGTTTCATTTCAAGAAGACGAATTAGTGAAGATCTTTCAAGGGTGAAGATTACTTTCTTACTGCACTTTTTTAAGATAACGCGGCCATTGAGGTATGGAACTTCATTTTGTGTTTCTGTATAATGTTTGCATATTGATTATTAATGATCGCAGCGCGATAGTCCGCCTGCATTTCATTTATCATTAACAAGTAAATTAGTCGCTAATTTAACCGCGTGTGGCCTTTACAGTTGAAAAATTGTGTAACATAAATGATGTTTGTATTACTTTTGTTTATGTGATTGTTCTCAATGAGAATGCTTGATATTATTATACTGTGCTAATTAATGATTTATGTATTTTATTTATTCAATTCTCACAATATTTTGACAACATGGATGTCCAAAATAGATGTCTGTCACCCAAAGAACGCCTTCTGCTTGTGTTTCAAATTGAGTAGAGTAACAAAATGCTTCACATAAAGAAATAAGATATGTTGTAGTTGACATGTATCCAGTCAAAAGTCATGTCAGTCCAAAGACATCATGAGTAAATGTCAAACACAGAAAAAGAACAAGAAACTTGGCTTTCTGCCTTGATTCACTCCCCATAATTTTAGCTCTTTAAAAAGCATAGGTTTGTTAATTTTCTGTTTCAGGCAAAAACTGACCAATTCAGCAATGTGCTGCTCCTTTGATAGCTCAGTTGGTAGAGCGGAGGACTGTAGGTTCACAGTGGCAGTTATCCTTAGGTCGCTGGTTCAGCTCCGGCTCGAAGGATGTGATTTTCATTTGGAACTCTTCAGATCACATGGATATGTAGAAAGTCGTAGTCTGAGATGTAGGTTTCAACCATAGATTGGTTCAACCGAAAAAGAGTCTTTACGTTCTAAGGTGAACAACTCCCTGTAATTAAATGTAAAGATGAATGTAAACACAATTGTTTTCAGAGCCATCTGTTTAGTTTCAATGATTGATTTGCTAAACCAAAACGAAAAGATCCTCCACCCTTGGAACTACATTAATTGGCTGACTTCAAAGTTGGGGTGTAGACAACATAGTCTAGGGAACGTCATGTGTCATCATGAGTGAATGTCAAACAAAGAAATAGAACAAGAAACTAGGCCTTTTGCCTTGATCCACTCCTCATAATTTTGGCTCTTGAAAAGCATAGTTTTGTTAATCTTCTGTATCACCGAAAAACTGAACACTTGAGCAATGAGTTGCTCCTTCGATAGCTCAGCTGGTAGAGCGGAGGACTGTAGGTTCACAGTGGCAGTTATCCTTAGGTCGCTGGTTCAACTCCGGCTCGAAGGATGTGCTTTTCGTTAGGGTTGTTCTGAACTCTTCACATCACATGGATATGTAGAAAGTCGTAGTCAGAGATGTAGGTTTCAACCAAAGATTGGTTCAACCGAAAAAGAGTCTTCACGTTCTGACATGAACAACTCCCTGTAATGTAAATGTAAAGATGAATGTAAACACAATTGTTTTCAGAGCCATCCATTTGGTTTCAATGATTGATTTGCTAAACCAAAACGAAAAGATCCTCCAACCTTGGAACTACATTAATTGGCTGACCTCAAAGTTGGGGTGTAGACAACATAGTCTAGGGGACGCCATGTGTCATCATGAGTGAATGTCAAACAAAGAAATAGAATAAAAAATTTAGCCTTTTGCCTTGATCCACTCCCCATAATTTTGGCTCTTTGAAAAGCATAGTTTTGTTAATCTTCTGTTTCACCGAAAAACTGAATAATTGAGCAATGAGCTGCTCCTTCGATAGCTCAGCTGGTAGAGTGGAGGACTGTAGGTTCACAGTGGCAGTTATCCTTAGGTCGCTGGTTCAACTCCGGCTCGAAGGATGTGCTTTTCGTTAGTGTCGTTCTGAATTCTTCACATCACATGGATATGTAGAAAGTCGTAGTCAGAGATGTAGGTTTCAACTATAGATTGGTTCAACCGAAAAAGAGTCTTCACGTTCTTACATGAACAACTCCCTGTAATGTAAATGTAAAGATGAATGTAAACACAATTGTTTTCAGAGCCATCCATTTGGTTTCAATGATTGATTTGCTAAACCAAAACGAAAAGATCCTCCACCCTTGGAACTACATTAATTGGCTGACCTCAAAGTTGGGGTGTAGACAACATAGTCTAGGGGACGTCATGTGTCATCATGAGTGAATGTCAAACAAAGAAATAGAACAAAAAATTTAGCCTTTTGCCTTGATCCACTCCCCATAATTTTGGCTCTTTGAAAAGCATAGTTTCGTTAATCTTCTGTTTCACCCAAAAACTGAACACTTGAGCAATGAGCTGCTCCTTCGATAGCTCAGCTGGTAGAGCGGAGGACTGTAGGTTCACAGTGGCAGTTATCCTTAGGTCGCTGGTTCAACTCCGGCTCGAAGGATGTGCTTTTCGTTAGGGTCGTTCTGAATTCTTCACATCACATGGATATGTAGAAAGTCGTAGTCAGAGATGTAGGTTTCAACTATAGATTGGTTCAACCGAAAAAGAGTCTTCACGTTCTTACATGAACAACTCCCTGTAATGTAAATGTAAAGATGAATGTAAACACAATTGTTTTCAGAGCCATCCATTTGGTTTCAATGATTGATTTGCTAAACCAAAACGAAAAGATCCTCCACCCTTGGAACTACATTAATTGGCTGACCTCAAAGTTGGGGTGTAGACAACATAGTCTAGGGGACGTCATGTGTCATCATGAGTGAATGTCAAACAAAGAAATAGAACAAAAAATTTAGCCTTTTGCCTTGATCCACTCCCCATAATTTTGGCTCTTTGAAAAGCATAGTTTCGTTAATCTTCTGTTTCACCCAAAAACTGAACACTTGAGCAATGAGCTGCTCCTTCGATAGCTCAGCTGGTAGAGCGGAGGACTGTAGGTTCACAGTGGCAGTTATCCTTAGGTCGCTGGTTCAACTCCGGCTCGAAGGATGTGCTTTTCGTTAGGGTCGTTCTGAATTCTTCACATCACATGGATATGTAGAAAGTCGTAGTCAGAGATGTAGGTTTCAACTATAGATTGGTTCAACCGAAAAAGAGTCTTCACGTTCTTACATGAACAACTCCCTGTAATGTAAATGTAAAGATGAATGTAAACACAATTGTTTTCAGAGCCATCCATTTGGTTTCAATGATTGATTTGCTAAACCAAAACGAAAAGATCCTCCACCCTTGGAACTACATTAATTGGCTGACCTCAAAGTTGGGGTGTAGACAACATAGTCTAGGGGACGTCATGTGTCATCATGAGTGAATGTCAAACAAAGAAATAGAACAAAAAATTTAGCCTTTTGCCTTGATCCACTCCCCATAATTTTGGCTCTTTGAAAAGCATAGTTTCGTTAATCTTCTGTTTCACCCAAAAACTGAACACTTGAGCAATGAGCTGCTCCTTCGATAGCTCAGCTGGTAGAGCGGAGGACTGTAGGTTCACAGTGGCAGTTATCCTTAGGTCGCTGGTTCAACTCCGGCTCGAAGGATGTGCTTTTCGTTAGGGTCGTTCTGAATTCTTCACATCACATGGATATGTAGAAAGTCGTAGTCAGAGATGTAGGTTTCAACTATAGATTGGTTCAACCGAAAAAGAGTCTTCACGTTCTTACATGAACAACTCCCTGTAATGTAAATGTAAAGATGAATGTAAACACAATTGTTTTCAGAGCCATCCATTTGGTTTCAATGATTGATTTGCTAAACCAAAACGAAAAGATCCTCCACCCTTGGAACTACATTAATTGGCTGACCTCAAAGTTGGGGTGTAGACAACATAGTCTAGGGGACGTCATGTGTCATCATGAGTGAATGTCAAACAAAGAAATAGAACAAAAAATTTAGCCTTTTGCCTTGATCCACTCCCCATAATTTTGGCTCTTTGAAAAGCATAGTTTCGTTAATCTTCTGTTTCACCCAAAAACTGAACACTTGAGCAATGAGCTGCTCCTTCGATAGCTCAGCTGGTAGAGCGGAGGACTGTAGGTTCACAGTGGCAGTTATCCTTAGGTCGCTGGTTCAACTCCGGCTCGAAGGATGTGCTTTTCGTTAGGGTCGTTCTGAATTCTTCACATCACATGGATATGTAGAAAGTCGTAGTCAGAGATGTAGGTTTCAACTATAGATTGGTTCAACCGAAAAAGAGTCTTCACGTTCTTACATGAAC